CTTCTATCCATTTTGGAGTAGATGATATATATATATATATATATATATACTTTCGGCATAATAACACCACACATCCACTGTGCAGATGATGATATCACAAGTTCACAGCCGCTGCAGTATGATCTTAAGACAATCGAAGCCGCAACAGATAATTTTTCGAGCAACAACAAACTTGGTGAAGGTGGATTTGGTGTAGTTTACAAGGTAAGAGTTCTCTACATTCTTGATTTAATTAATTGCAACGTGGTCATGAGAGCGATGATGCCATTCATATATACTGGACTGTAGGGTACATTTCCGGATGGAACTGAAATTGCGGTTAAGAGACTATCAATAACTTCAAGACAAGGCTTGCAAGAGTTCAAGAACGAGGTCAATGTACTGATAAAACTTCAGCATAATAATCTTGTTAAGCTTCTTGGGTATTGCTTGGAAGGAGAAGAGAAGATACTCGTCTATGAGTTTTTGTCCAACAAAAGCCTCGATTGTTTCCTCTTTGGTCTGTTAACATTCCATATACCCAGTTTTGTGTACCTGCATGCACTTTCTGATGATTTCTCATCCCATCTTGACTTATGTATCGATACGCAGACACTATGAATCAACGAAAACTAGACTGGAACAAACGGTACAATATCATCGAAGGGATTGCTCGAGGGATTCTATATCTACATCAAGATTCACGGCACAAAATCATACACCGTGATCTCAAAGCAAGCAACATCCTTCTAGATGCTGATATGAAACCCAAAATCGCAGACTTCGGCTTGGCAAAGATTTTTGCAATGGAGCAAACTCGAGCCGAGACTAACATGATAGCTGGAACCTTGTAAGTTGTAAGTGGAGTTCTAAAATTTGATAAATCTTTTTTCGTCACCTGTTAAGTCAAGTCTTGGTGCATGTTTTGTCCAGCGGTTACATGCCTCCTGAGTATATGAATCATGGTCAGTTCTCCATGGAATCTGACGTCTATAGCTTTGGAATTTTGGTTCTTGAGATCATAAGCGGCAATACGAGTAGTAACTTATACAGGATTGATGATACTGATTGCAAGTTGGGCACATATGTGAGTACGTTTTGTTTCCGTCCACTATAACCAAATGTTTAAAAAGAACTATTTATTCATTTAATCATAAATTAATATTATAGGCTTGGAAACTGTGGAGTAAAGGTTCGGCTTTAGAACTCGTGGACCCGAGTTTTGTAGAAAATGATCAAATCGAACAAGTCACTCGATGCATACATATTGCCCTTCTATGTGTTCAAGCGGATCCTTCAAAGCGTCCAAAATTGTTTGAAATCATCTCAATGCTCACAACTAGCAAAATCAGTCAGTCAGTGCCTTGTGAGCCTGGATTTTTCGTACATAGTAGAAGCTGAGGGATTGAAGTTTTTATTTACTTGTTCTATCGATGATGATTTGTCTACTTCTTTTGTTAGAATCATTACTGAAGAAGATTGATATTTTATTTGAGTTCTAGTGATGCTTGCTTATTAAAGTTATTGTGACTTTAATATGAATGTGAATGATTACTATAAAATTAGAGGGATTTAGGCCTCAGAAGTAACCAATAACTACCAAGTACCAACTAAGTGATTGTATATGTGGGATCTTGTCTGTTTCTGCTTAGTGTCCATAAATTGTTAGTAGATTTTGTCACTTGTGTATTTATAAACGGTGATTGTCAACTATGATATTGTTTCTTTTTTTCAAGTCGAATAATTTGTCAGTAATGTGTCAATGATAAACAAAGATATTTGTAGGAATCAGACTATTATTATTTTGAGTCTTTATATGGTGCAGTTTGGTTGAGAATGTAAAAAATTAAAGCCTATTGAAGGTATAATGGGAAAAATCACATTTTTAACCTTCAAAGTGTCACTGGATAGCATTTTAAACCTCGAAAGAATTCTATTAATACTATAAACCACCAAAATAAATTTACTAACACTTTAAACCTCTAAACTAGTTTTCATGTTTGCACCGCCATAAAATATGATGGAACAATTAATTCATGTTGGTTTAATATAAATTTATTTAATTTAATTTAAATTTTAATTAATTTTATTATTTATTATGATTTTTCGATTATTAAGAAACGTAGAAAAAAATAGATTCCTCTGATACGGAGAATTGGGCTAAAATTTTGAGACTTATTATATTCATATGTTCGTATTTCCTATCTTGCTTTCTGTCTCGAAAATGTGTGTTGATAATCTCTTGTCAATTCTGTGTTTTGGTTCTCTTAGGGAACTTTTGCATCATGTCTTCACAACGGTACTTATTATACAAATCACAACCTTGTCCTATCATCTCTAGCTGCCAATGTTCACGCTATGGCTTCTACAATGTTTCGGTCGGTGAAAGCGTTGAAAAGATATATGCCTTAGGCATGTGTATCTCAGGACTGAACCACATGTCTGCTCAGATTGTATCCAACATGCATTTGACTACTTATTACAGAGCTGTCTCAAGTAACTAAAATGACCAATGATTAGTTCGTTTCCTGGTACTCCCAACAAACCAGTTCTCGTAGATCTTAAAGCGTGGATAGGTTTCTAGAGCCAATGGTACACACAAGACAAATCGCGTCCTTGTTTGCTTTGTTATTGCTTGCTTCCATTGTCATGGCAAATGATGGCTTCCACATTGCTTCTATGAAATATGATTACACGATTATTGTAAACGTCCGATGTTTTCCACAGTCGTCGTCTTGAGGTTCAAAAGTAACAGAATCACTCTATTCATGGGAATGGGAACATGTGGAGTCAGGTCAAATCTTCCATCTTTACTCAGCCTTGTTGGATTCTACTTTTACATTTTGTTTAATTATGTCTCGTTTGTTTCTGCTTAGTTTCCATTTACTATGTGTCGATTTTGTCACCCGCGGATTTGGAAATGACAGATGGTCGACTATGATATGTGTTTCTTTATTAGAGCCAAAGGACGATGGTCTACATATCTACCTCATTTATAATTTCGTTTTTTCACTAGTGGAGTTGAGAACGTCATAAGATAGCTCCTGAAGGTATCAGATTATTATTTTATGTTTTTTACATGCACTACAGGAAAATTGAGTATTCTTAGCGGCCGAATAACGCTATCTAACGAGATGATAGCGAAGTAGAAAGCGCTATATCTGCGCCCATGATAATAGGTCGACGGCTTCCGATAGCGGTTTTTTGTGGTGCTATATTTTGTTAATATATTATAGCGTGTTGTCTTATGCAATGTAATATTGTTTAATAGCGAGTATATTTTGTTATTGATGTTCCTATTAACGATCTGATTTTGAATTTTGAATTGTATTTTAAATTTTTGAAATGAATTTTAAATTTCTTTTATTCTAAAAACACCAAATTTAAATTTACAAAGAGAAAAATCAATAATCCTATACTATTATTTGGGGAGTACACTTTATAAGATACCCTTAACTAACCTTTCATTTTGTAAGAATTTACTTAAGAATGCCATTAGAAATAAAATTTTATAGAGTAAATTAATTCAACTCATTAAGGATAAACAAGTCAAATACTATTTTAAGCAATTTAATTAATTTAATTTAATTATAAAAACGAAAATCTATTATTAATTTTTTTAAAAAGAATGACCAATCAAAATGAACATATAAGATTTGATATCTAACTTATCACATTAATTTGTTATTAATCATTATACTTCACCTCTCATCTTTATATTATTCTATTTCTATAAAATAAATAAATTATTATATCATCTACATAATAAAAAAAAAAAGTAAAAATTTTCCGCATATACAAAGATTTGAATTTTTAAAAACGAATATAAATTGTTCAATGTATGAAAGAACAAATTTAACGGGTCAAAAAATCATATTTGAGTAATATATTCCTTTTTAATATCATCAATTCTTAATAGATCAAAAAGTTAAGAAATATAAATACTCTAATTTGATTTTTTGAAACAAATATTTATAATAGGCGGCGGGTTAAATATAATGTATTATATGATGAAATGAGTTATGATCCTTATAACTATTTGAATATTTATATTTAATTTCATATATATATTTTTTTAAAATTCATAATTTTACATACTACAATAAAAATTTTAAAGATTTTAATTTGGAACATTTAAAAAAGTTTAATTTAATATATTAAAGAATATCATAAATATTTAATAGATTAAAAAGATAAAAAATTATAAATACTACTTTGATTTTCTAAAAAGATATGTTTAATATATTTATAGTAGGCGACGGGTTAAAAGTAATGTATTATATGATAGAAAGTTATGATTCTTATAATAGACGACATTTTAAGATTTTATGATGAGATGAGTTAAATAAGGTTTGACACTTCTAAATATTTGAAAATTTAATTCTGCAAACAATTTTGGAAATAATGAATAATAGATTGTGCCACAATATTTTCATAGGGATTGTAAAATAAAAATATAGACTCCACACATGGATCGAATTTGGTATTATTATATACCAAATATATGTTCATAACATATTCGATTATGTGAATAATTGGTAAATTCCGTAATTAGCTCAAACAAATCTCTATTTCAATAACCAATGAATTAGAATTTGAAAAAATAATTTCCTAAATTAATTCAAAATAATAGCTAACTTTTTTAACTAATTCAAAATAATCTACGTTTTAGATGCGATTCATTTATGATATGTTGATTTTTGATCTAACTAAATTATATGCACTCTCATTTTGTGGTTGTTAACATAAATTAACTCATTGTTCAAACAATATTATTTTTTTTGAAAATAATATTATTTTCCGCTTTCATATCTTTAAAAAATATATCCATAATTGAGGATTACAGAAAAAAAAAATATTTATTCTAATATTATATATATGGACTGACATACAAAATTAATATTCTTTTACTTACTATTATAATATATCACGATTTTATTCTATAACTATATAATATATAAATTTTGTAATAAATGAAATTCAACCCGTACTGTAGTACGGGTGATGATCTAGTAATAATATACAAGGGAAAACTTTTGTTCGAATATTACAAGAACAAATCAATGATATTCAATGATATTACAAGACCTTGCAGAAGAATCAGTCTGTCTCTAACCGAGCAATGTAAGTATCATAGAAATTTCCAGCTTTCTCGAGATCTCCCAGCTCGGTATAACAGTCTGCAATAGCTCCATATGCTTCAGTGATTCCAGAATCTTCACCTTCCCTCTTTGAGATGGCTAGAACCATGGAGTGATACTGTATGGCTTCCCTATACTTCCCTTGGCGTTGCAGCGAGGCTCCTAAGCCTCTTGCAGCCTTCTTTTCTTTGATGGGGTCTTTGAGACTCTTGGCAAGTTCCAAAGCTATCTTGAACTCTGCATACGCTTTTTCTGGTTCTTGGTTCCTCAGAAAGGTTTTGCCTGTTTTCACTCTCTGGGATTCTTGCTCCCACAGGGGCATAACTCAAGCTTGGTGCATAAGACTCGATTTTGGCTTGTCTCCTAAGAGCTGTGTTAATCTGTCATAGTTGTTCATTCAACCTCTGTAACTCCCCTTTCCTCTGCCGAGCAAGCAACCCTGGTTTATGGACCTTATCAAAACCAAATGAGTACAGTTCGTAGAAGCGTAGATTGAAGAGAAGGCTAGTCACTACCTCCAACAGTGGCTCCAATAAGAGCTACAAGCAACAAAATTGGCATGCTGAACATGGAGCTCTCTGGCTCACATATCTCAGCAGCCAAAGCTTCAAGTGGTGTAGCTATCTGTAGAGAGTTTGTCAAAAACACTGCCATCACCAGTAATTTGAGCCTCCCAATTCCCTGCCACATCCATATCTAAAAGGTTTACTATCACAAAGAACAAACTTGACTACAAAATGATAAACTGAGTCAAACAATATCATGGGTTTTAGTTGGATATAGCTAAACATCCCGGAACTCATCACCAACCTACCTTAAAAGCTGAAAACTTGTCAAGAGTTTCCCCGCTGGGAAATGGCGTTGGTAAGATTGCCCTGCCTCGGCGCTCCTTGGGCTGGGAAGACGAGAATGTATAAGCTTGGAGAAAGCTTCCTCCAAGAATATAGCAAAGCTTCCTCTTTGGTTCAATGAACAAGCCAAAGTGCTCTTCCTTACAATCACATAATCACGATAGATCTAACCATCAAAAGACAAAAAAAACAACCCAATCAACAAGCAGACCAAGACCAAGAAAGTATAAATCGATTAAACTCAGAGAAACAATTAACCAAAACCCTAAATCGAAATCCCAAACCGAAACTAAATCTCAACCAATTTCAAATTCCTTGAATCTTTCCTGCAAATTAACAAAAATAGTGTCCACGGATCAATAACCAATACGTAAAATCCCTAAATCAATATAAATTACGAATACCCAAAGTCCCAAACACAATTCGTTCTCAATTCGCATGAGAATTCTTCAGCAACAAGGTGAGCGAGGATGATGGCTGGGTTTTTTGATTCAGAGAGTGAGATTAGTAGGAGAGACTGAAAAAATTGAGAAAGAAAAAGCAAAAGGGTAAAAACAAATGTCGAAAGAGAGAGGAAAAGAGAAATAGAGAGCATAAGGGGAAGAAAACATGTTAAGTGTTGGACGAGTTGCAGATCTGTTCTATTTCTTGTTTTTCTCTTTTATTTTTTTTTTTATTTTTTTTTATGCTTAGTATTTTGGAGCCAAGTGAAATTTTCAATTCCCCGGTTACCACTACGATAACGTTTTTAGTGTCCTTTATGTTATCATAAAACCAAAAAGTAAGCGCCAATACGAAATTGTTTTTTGCTCATCCTACTATAGCGTTTGTCTTTTTAAAAACGCTATGTAAATTTTCTCAAAACTCAAGTATAGCAAAAACATTAAAAATGCTATACAGTAATGCTATTAATACCTTCATTTCTTGTAGTGATGGTTTACTTTTTGGTTGAGAAGTAAAGCCTGATTATTGAAGGTATCAACGTATTGTTATTATAAAGCTATTGGCCAATTTGATTTATCCTTTAGGCTAAACTTTACACACTTCCTTATAGACTTGAGCTTTGCATTCATGTTCCTACCTCCTATCAACCTTTATCTCTCTCTCTCTCTCTCTCGTTCTCATTCTCTTTGTCTCGAAATGTATCTGAAGAATATGTTGTCAATCCTGTGTTTTGTCTTTGCAGCAAGCTTTTGTGTCGTGTCAACTCAACCACAATGCGGGGAGTCACTAAATTTCACCCCCAACGATGCTTATGATAAAAACCGTCATCTCATCCTCCCGACTCTTGCTTCGAAAGTCAGTTCTCAAGACGGCTTCTATTACGGTTATGTTGGTGAAGGATCTGAAAGGGTCTACGCCGCGGGCATGTGTATCCCAGGGATTAAACCAACGGTTTGTTCAGGCTGTATAGAAACCGCGTCCAGTGATTTATTAAAAATCTGTAGTAATCATCAGACCGATTCATATGTGTGGAGAACCGCGGAGACGCTCTGTTTTGTTCGTCACTCCAATCGCTCTTTCTCCGAGCAGAATGATCTGACTCCGTACTTAGAAGTTTGTAGTGATAAAAATCTCACTGGAGACGTAACAGAGTTTAAAAGTATTTGGCAGGAGTTCGTGAAGGGTATATATGATCATAGCAGCTTCCACTTCAACTACACCCAAGAATTATGCAGCCAAGGTATCTGATCCGATAGGCCTCCAGCGTATATACACATTGATGCAGTGTATTCCTGGGATATCTTCAGTATACTGTGACAACTGTCTTCGTGAAAGTGTCATTTTGTTCCAAAAAGAGTGCAGTGGCATGCAAGGGTGTAATATTCGGAGGCCGGTCTGCTTTTTCCAATGGGAATTTTATCCTATTTATGATGCTTTTGCGGATACAAAGTCGCCCCCTCCACCCATCCCCAGTGCAGCCAAAAAAAGTAAGTATGATTGTAAAGGAACTGTATGATAAATCATCCCTGAATCTCGTTTTCAAGTTTTGATTGTCAAACCAAAACGTGACATGCATGCATTTTGTTTGTGTAGATACAACAATCACCAGAGGCACCTTAATCGGGATAGTAGTCGTAGCAGCAATAATCGTGGCATTGCTCGCTCTAGGATTTGTTTATTGCAGGAGGAGAAAATCAGACAAAACAACAAAACTCAAAAGTGAGAAACTTTATACTTAGTTACATATACATATATATTACACACACACTTCCTGCATAATAACAAAACACATCAATCGTTGCAGTTGATGATGATATCACAAGTCCACAGTCATTGCAGTTTGATTTTAAGACACTCGAAGCCGCAACAGATAAATTTTCGATCACGAATAAAATCGGTCAAGGTGGTTTTGGTGAAGTCTACAAGGTATGAGATCTCTACCTTTCTGTTTCGTATATTTTTCCCAAAAAAATTAATGAACACCGTCATGAGAGTGAAGAAGCCATATATATATTGTAGGGTACATTTCTTAATGGAACTGAAATTGCGGTGAAGAGGCTATCAAGAACTTCAGGACAAGGCTTGAAAGAGTTCAAGAACGAGGTTATTGTTGTGGCAAAGCTTCAACATAGAAATCTGGTTAGAATTCTTGGGTTCTGTCTGGAAGGAGAAGAGCAGATACTCGTCTATGAGTTTGTGTCAAATAAAAGCCTCGATTATTTCCTTTTCGGTCGGTTAACGTTACAATATTTGTTATTCCATCTTGAAATCTTGATTTGGTGTTAATAGCTTCAGGAATGACTAATATATATATCTATGTGCAGATCCGGTGAAGCAAGCCCAGCTGGACTGGACTACACGGTACAATATCATTGGAGGGATCGCTCGAGGGATTCTATATCTTCATCACGATTCAAGGTTCACAATCATACACCGTGATCTCAAAGCAAGCAACATCCTTCTAGATGATGAAATGAAGCCGAAAATCGCGGATTTTGGCATGGCAAGGATTTTTGGGATGGAACAAACGCGGGCGGATACTAGCAAGATAGCTGGAACATAGTAAGTGTAGATTACTCCTTATAAACTGAAATTTGATGAACCTTTTGATTGCTCAAGTCATGGTGTGTTTTTTTCTAGCGGTTACATGGCTCCTGAGTATGCTATGCACGGTCAATTCTCCGTGAAGTCTGATGTCTATAGCTTTGGAGTGTTGGTTCTTGAGATAATAAGTGGCAAGATGAATAGTAGCTTCTATCAATCAGATGGATCTGGTGGCAATTTGGTGTCACACGTGAGTACTTTGTTGTTTCTTTATCTCATTATGATAAAATATTATGGACTCTATACTGATCTAATCATGTTAATGTTAGGCTTGGAGAGTATGGAGAAAGGGTTCACCTTTAGATCTATTGGACCCGACTTTTGGGGATAACTACCAAAGCAATGAAGTTACTCGGTGCATGCATATCGCCCTTTTATGTGTTCAAGAAGATCCTGCAGATCGTCCAACATTGTCTACAATCATCTTGATGCTCACTAATAGCTCCATCACTCTGCCAGTGCCTCGTGAAACCAGGATCTTTATTGCAGATTAGAAGCTGATCGGTCTTGAAGTTGTATGGTAAACCGGTTCCTTGTTTAATCTGTGATTGATCGACTTACCTATTTAGATCCTCATTGAAGGTGATTGTTGTTTTTCTTTGATTGAGTTTGAGTGCTGCTGCTTCTTTATTACCTTGTGTGGCCTGAATATGAATGGGGAATGTGAATTATACAGAAGTTACCAATGTACCAACTGATTGTATGTAAGCAAAACCGGTTATTTACAAAACCGGTGTTATGTAAAATTTAAACTAGATTTTCAGTTTTACGCTTCTTCTGCTTTTTGTGTTTGGTCAATGACTCAATTCAAATTTTGTTAAAGAACGAGAATTTCCATGAAAAATTAGGTTTTCCATTGATTGGTTTCTTCAAAATCAGTTGTCGGAGATCCTAAAGCGTGAATACGAACTTTTAGACCAATGAGGCAAATCGTCTCCTTGTCCGCTTGGCCATTTACTTCCAATGTCATGGCTCGTGATGGCTTCTACAATGCTTCTATTGATTAAGGTCCCGATGAGGAATTGTATCTCAGTAGCAAAATCACAACTGCGCTCAGATTGTTGTTCGCGTCTGATGTGTTTATGACAGAGTTTTCTTCTAATCAGACAGATGCTTTTACATCGGAATCGTAAACGTTGTCCACAATCGTCGTGACTATCTTCAAGTGACACAATCACTCTACTGTCTACTTGGAAACTTTGGAACCAGGTCAATCGTTAATCCTTACCCACTCTCGTCTTGTTCTCATTTGCTATCCTGATTTTGGTGTCGTTAGGATTCAAAATGTAGGTTTTTTTTTTCACTGTTTGTAGATTTGTTTAGTTGGGGAGTTTGAAAAAGTGAATGCCAACGATAAAAAATTGTTTCTTTATCACACAAGTTGAATGATTTGTCAACTATGCCTCTGGTGAGAATGGTTTTGTATTACTGTTCGTGCTGAGAAAATAATAAGAAAGCTATAGAAGATGTCAAAGTATTACTAATTTTGGTTCTTTAGACTGCTCAATTTGTTGGTTAAAAAACTAATAAGAATGCTATTGAAGGTATCAAAGTATTTTAATTGTAAAGCTGTGGGCTAGATTGAATCATTATTCATTAGTTTGACCAAAAATTGCAGACTTTCGTTATTAACGAAACCAATGATATATAACTCCTATAATCATGTCTCTCTCTATGACTCTGCTTTGGTGTGTTGAGTTGAGTAGATTCATTCAACAAACATAGTGGGCGTGTAGTCTGGGTGCATCTCACATCATGAACATATTTGAAACTTCAACATTATTTTTATAAACAGAAAACACATCAGCTATCTGCTATGATTGGCTCTCTGATGTTGTATATCCCTTGACTTAGCTTTTATAATGCAGTGGACGTTTAAGTTTGGCAACTTGAAGAGAGAACTCAAATGCTATTTAACTGATATGAAGTGTACGGATATGTACATATAACCCAAAAAAGATTTGTACATCCATGAGGATGGCCAAGAAGTTTTCTTTATCGATCTTCTGGTTTGTCGTCATAAGCATAATTTCTGTTGTCTCTTCGCAACAATGCATTGACGACACTGGGGTTTTTCAATCCAGTAGTAATTATGGTGTCAACCGTGAGCTCATTCTCTCATCTCTTGCTTCTAATGTGACGCATAACAATGGCTTCTATAATTCTTCGAAAGGCGAAGGTCTTGACCAAGTATTTGCAATGGCGATGTGCATCAATGGGTCTGAACCAGAGGTTTGCTCTGAATGTATCAATACAGCGGTTGGACAATTGAAATATAATTGCCCTAACCATATTGAAGCATTCACATGGACACCTCACAAGACACTCTGTTTCGCTCGGTACTCTAACCGTTCGTTTTTTGGAACGCTTGTTATGCACCCGGTTTACACAGAGCAGAATAGTGGGGTTATCAAGTCAGATTTAAAGGATTCTGATGAAACGTTGGATAAACTAACGCGTCCTATGATTGCTGCAGCGCTCTCGGGTGAGGACACTTCAACTGGTGTAGCAGTCTTGAAAAATTTTCAGACTGTATATGGATTCATGCAATGCACTCGGGATCTATCTCCAGACAATTGTACCAAATGTCTTGATGATAGTGCAAAAGAATATGACAAATGCTGTCGTGGAAAGCAAGGAGGCATTATTGCATGGTCGAGCTGCTTTTTCCGGTGGGATCTGTTCCCATTCAACGGAGCTATCGATTTGGCACATCCTCCTCCTAGAGGTAATTCCTCCAACTGCAAAACTATGATTGCAAGAACTTGCCAAAACCTATCATTCTTCGAAGATTTAAAAAAGATTTTAAGGGATGTGTATTTCTCTTCTTCTAAACAATCCTTTTTGATTCTAGAATGCCAAGATTGCAAAGGAAACTCAAAGGGAATCATCGCGGTGTTTGTTGTTCCCTCCGTAGCTA